CTCGCCGTTAAGGTACTTGGAGTGTGAGTTGGAGATGGAGATGCCGATGGTGGAGCAGGTTGCACAAATGAATCAACTACGGAGATATGATTAGCGAGATACTATGGCAATAGAAACACACACCTTTTGTTTTCTTACTAGGAACCTTGGACTCAACAGGTGACATCATCGGGCGCCTGCACTTCTTGCTAGTCTGTTCATCATTAGTGTTGTTGTTGTTGTCATTGGCATCATCATCATCTTCTTTCTTGACACTGTCTCGAGACTTGCGATTGTTGTCACTGTCGAGGTTGTTCCGGCGCCAGGAAGGATACGAAGATGTTGCAAGGAAATCTAGTTTCCAACCGTTATCAGCAAATTTGAACAATGGGAATGTGTCCTCCATTAGCGAGTGAACCAGCTGTCTCCCAGAGGCCGACACCTTCCCCCATGATTGTGGGGCCATTTTGCGACTTAAAAGTTCAGACCAGCCCCCCCGAAGAAGCTTGCAAATAGCCTTGATGGTGGTTTCAGGTACTGGGTCCCCATCTGCATCCTTGAGATATGGAAGCTTTCCGCGATCAGCGGTTCGGCTACTGGCAGTCTCCAGCCACTCCATATAGTCATCCTGAGTCCAGAACAATATGCTGGGGTAGAGTTGACGAGTGGGACGAGTGGAGTCGCCAGAGGCTGGGCAAATAATCGTCGAGTCGGAATGACGAAGCTGAGAGGGATCTGAATGGGATGACTGAACAGAGCTTGCAAGATGTTCAAACATTGCTCTGCAAATTGGAGCAATCAAAAACAATGGAGGTGGCAAGAAAATACTTACTTGATTGTATCACGTTCAGTAGTTAGCTGGACTTCGCGTAACTCCAGTGCCCTGCAGCGCTCAAGTAGAGCTTGAAATTGCTGACTATCCTGCATATATGCGCCCTAAAGATACATTTGTGAGCAGAAAAATGCTTATAAAATACTTACTTGATGAAATTGGTACCGTGGCGAGGCTGAATCAGCGAATGGGTCAGGTAATGGCCCAGACAGGGGGGAATGACCTGGGTAAGACAAGTCCTCTACCCATCGTGGATTCTGTAGTGGGGAGTGGGAGGCTTGTTAGGAGCGGGAGGGCTGTTGGGAGCGGGAAGGTCGTCATTATGATAGTCATAGTCATTGGGTTTGTCGTCCTATAAATTATGTCAAACGGGTACATAGAGATTACTGTAGTGCTGAACATGTACCTGGGCCATACTGGGTTCAGTCTGTTTGGCTCATTTACGGCATCCGACTTTGCGTGACAATTCTGCATTCTCTCGCGCTCGTTTAGTGAGACCACGGATTGCATCCAAGCGACGAGCTTTGGGAGGTAGAGCTAGCGCACTGCTCTCTGCAGGTGGAACTGAAAAAGCGGGTATACTGTGTCCATTTAGTGCTCGGCCTGTGCGCATCCTTTCTCTTTCATCTTCGGTGTTGGCTTCTTCTAAGTGCCTGCACCATGTCGTGCCCGAGACCATGTGAGACTGGCCTTGATTGTACTTGCGGCAGACACATATGTATCGGGGAGCGTCATCGAGTTGCTTAGAACTGGAACTTGCATACATCTAACATGTAAAATAGACGCTAGAAAGACTAGCGGAAGCACATTAGTTTACATCAGTATAGGTAGATTGCAAGTGAGAGACATTGCGCACCTCAGTAAGTTCGAGAACAATACTGAGATGCATAGCTGGGATGATCCAAAGGAAATACGAGAGACCAGAGCATTAGCTAATTGTACCGGTGAATGGACGAGCGGATGGTTCGAGTGGTCAAGAAGTAAGAAGCAAGAGGTGTCGAAGGCGATAACTGTAAGAAGGAAATATCGAGTCTAAACGCAGGATCGTCAATACACCTCACCAAGGCAACAAACGCAAGATGGAAACATGCTTACAGAAACCAGTAAGGGAGAAAGGTAACATATTTTGATGTGCGCCAGTGTGTCCACATGGAGATCTTGGAGGATCGAGTAGAGTTTGGATGAGTGGTATATCTACTACTACTACTAGTAAGTTGATACGACGTTACCATAGTGTACTGTATTGATGCGATCGCGATGCATTGATGCGACGATGTGTGGGATGGGATGTGGTTGTGCAATGCAATGCAATGGTGTATATGTATGCGACGCAATGTATACAAAATGATATGAAATTATAAAGTAGCACAGACCAGCACAAACGGCCATAGGACAAAAAGGGAAATTCAGGTCTCAGCATATCCTGGCTGTTTCGAGCACAGCCAGTTCTTACTGGGTGTGACGCCTGACAAGTCTTTTAGCAGCTCGTCGCACCGGTAGGAACAGAGGGTGAGTTGTGGGGTGCGCCGCTAAGCGGATAGCCGCTTGGTAGCATAAGTTTTGGAGCCGGTGCTGAAGAGGGATCAACTTTGCATGTGCTTCCAGGGTGTCCATTGCCGTGGTGTGCATAGCCCCAGTGATGCTTAGAGCTGCGATGCGTTAAACCCTTGTCAGACGCCTGACCACGCCTATCGAGCCTCGTTGAGGAGTGTCTCCGTCCCCTATGAACAAGGGACGGAACCAGAGATCCACTGCGTATAACATCTTAGGTAGGGCTACAGCTAGGTATAATTGACGCATTAGTGAGAGTGGCATTCCCAGGGAGGTAGAAGAAAGGCAGCGCAGCTGGAAAACATATGCAGTACCCTTCGCTAGTGCGTATGCGATATGGGCTCCCCATCGTAATGTTTGATCCAGTATGACTCCTAGGAAGCGGTGCGTTGCTGTTGGGGTGATCGTGGTGTTCCTGGTTATGAGGGGAGGACGTTCTTTGGCGGGATTCATTGAGAAGTCCATTAACGCGAATTTTGAGGTTTCAAACTTAGAGTTGTGGGTTCTCGCCCATTCATAGCCGCCCTCTGGCCTTTCCAACATGTGCTTGAGGATGTCATGTGTCTCATGGAAGGAGTTCCCTATAGCGATAAACGCAGTATCGTCGACAAAAGCTAGTGTTCTCTCCTTCTTGCCGTTTCCAATGGCGATATCTACGAGGTCCGAGTCGTATATGACATATAGAATCATGGAAAGCGGGTCCCCCTGGCCTATTCCATTGCGAATCGGGATCCATTCGGATAAGTGACCATCGAACTTGAGCTGAGTGCGACAATCTGTTAACAAACGTTCAGTAAATCCTACCAGAGACTCTGGGAGACGTCTCTGCCTCATGTTATGCAGGAGGCGGTCAGTTACGGCGTTCAGAAACGCGCCTTCTATATCCAGAAATAACGCTGAGACAACTTTACCTTGCCTCCAGGCATCTTTGATGGTCGCCCCTAATAGATGTAATGAGTCCATGGTGGATCTGCCAGGACGGCCGCCAAAGTGGGTATCGGGGAGTAGATTGTGGTGCTCGAGGAGGTAAGTCATTTGGTCTGCAACCACGGCCGTAAGCAGTTTGCACATCGTGTTGAGGAGCGCAATAGGTCGGTAGGCCTTCGTGATGGTATAGTCCGGTGTAGGGATTCATTTCTGGCTGGGCTTGTAGAGACTGTTTTTACCTTACCTTATGTTGGCACTTTTGTAGCTTACATAAGCAAGTTATCTTTTCACCAGTTACCAGTAGGAGTCAGAGTCTTCAGTAGTTTTCTATCATATTTCCTCTTCTCTGAGCCTTGAGCCTGGTCCAGAAACCCTTTAGGGTCGAATAGCAGCTAGGTTCTGCAAGACCCAACATTGTTCAGACTCACTCTCTGAATTGTTGTACCTTCACCAGTTTTCCAGGTTTGCGTAGGACAACAGTTGTAAAGTCCTTCCATGGGGGGTGATATGTCCGAAGCATGAATACGGCTGTAAAGAGATGAAGTAAGTATTGGTTGAGTAGGGCCGCGCAACGAATGAAAACAATGTTGCATATGCCGTCGGGTCCAGGCGCCTTGTAAGGGCTGAGTTTGGCGATACTCCTTGATAGTTGAGTTCCGTTGATAGGTGCTGGCGTGTGGACTGGTTCGGGGTATATGACCTCTGCTGGGACGGATGAGACAGCTGGTGGAGGCGGAAAGAATGTGCCCGCTAGGGCCGCGCTTTTCTCCTCATTAGTGTCAGCAAGGGAACCGTCAGGCCGTCGTAACGTTGGGATTCTAGAAGGGCCACCATCGCCCGCTGCTGCTGTGAGGTAGTTGTTAGCAATCCAAATATCGTTACCTTCGATCTCTTCGAGCCAGCTGATCCAGTGTTCTTTCTTAGTCTGCTTGATGGCTTCCGTGTACTGATTACGTTTGATGCAATATTCCTCGTGGCTGGGGTGGTTAGCATTGTCGCGCAGTCTATATGATCGGTGACATAGTTTTGCTACTTCGCGTCGCAGAATGGTGAGGTCCCTTGTCCACCATCGTTTGGAGTGGGGGTTAGGCTTCGATTTAGGGACAGTCTGAGCTATCGTGCATTGAATCGCAGAGGTTAGGGCCCGCGCTGCATTCTGGAATTCCTTGTCAGTGACGAGTGACTGAGCAGGAGGAAGCGTATCCAGTTCTAGAGCTAGACGTTCATTGAACATCTCCCAGTCCGTTTCCCTAAAGTTGTGCTTCTCCTCCACTGTGGCTCTCGGGACGTCGAATTCTAGAATACTAAGTATGGGGAGGTGGTCAGTAGCAGGCCCGCGCAATGCTGGGTTGGTTGAGCAGCTCAGAAAGGAGTCGCTAGTGTGATCCGTGCAGAAAACATTGTCGGGGCGTGTCCAGTTTTTCGAACTTGAGGACTGTAGCGTCGGCATGCCTTTCAGCAGGGCCAATATCATACCATAGTCCGCCAGAAGGTCCAAGAGAGGTTGAGCTGTGTTAAGATAATGGTTAGTGAATAATTGGGTGTTACGGTCCTCGTCCCAAAGAGGGTGGTGCCTATTGAAATCACCGAGCCAGATCATGTGGTCGTCGGCGGATGGACGTAAGTTCCTTATCTCTCGTTCTAGGAAGGAGGCAAGTGCCTCCTGGGTGTTCATTAGTAAACAATCGTTATAAATATTAAATATTGTGCATCAGCCGAATGGGCCCCGAAATTGGATTACGACAATGTCTGGCGAAGGAAATGCGAGTTGCTGCCATGAGTTAGTTTCTAGAGATTTGGAGACGAGAGTGACCACTCGTGACTTAAGATTAGGTGCTGAGAATCTGGTGGTGGGGTATACGGCGTGGAAGTATGGGGACGATATGGTATTCTTCATTGAGTTGATGTGAGGTTCCTGGAGGGCGACGATGTCCCATTCTCGGGCGATAGGACTATTAAGGAGTGAATGCTGCGCCACAAGTGACGTATTTAAGTTCTGTTGCCATACGCGTAGTCGAGTCGATGCTTCGATATGTTGTTCAGACATTGGGTGGGGTCGAGGGCCGTGGGGTCGCATAGACGGAGGAGGATGTGAGAGGGGAGTCCGTTATGGAGGGGGTTGGGGAACGTTGAGCTGCCGGAGTGCGTTGTCCGTGGTCCCAGACCTTGTTGGCATTGGCGGCAATCGGGATTGAGTTGGGTCCTGTGGGTGTGGGGACTCTGAAGCCCCTTTGGCTTATGTGACGTGGTGCTCCTCGTGTAGGATGTCCTCTAATGGGGCGACGTGATTCGAAAGGAAGGTTAGTCTGGCGGAGGGGTGGTGGGCGATGTGGATTAGTGGGTGGCGGTGTGAAGGTCAATGTAGCTTTCTGAGGTGGAGCTGGCTGTGAGGGTAATAGTACCTGGGTCCAGGGATCGTCGGTTGGGAAGAATGGCATGGAATTTTCTGGATGTTTGGCGTCTATCCCTGCGCATCTGGACTCAAATTCAGGACAATTCCGGTTCCAGCTGGCGTGGTTGTCCGAGTTGCAGCTAACACAGAATAGGGTGCGGTAGGCGTTGCAGTCATTGGTGCGGTGATTCTTTCCGCAGGTACCGCAGGTGTCTCGCGGGGCCTGACAATCTTTTGCTATATGTCCCCAGAGCTGGCATCAAACGCAGCGTACAGGTTCACGTTTATCCTTGCGGGGGTGCAACTTTTCTTGACCGATGTAGATGCCGTCACGAAGCGCTTTGTTAGCTGGATGGGGATCTGTGAAATGGAAGATTGCGTGAGCGACCCGTTGATCCGGCGCTCTGCGTTGACTTGGCTTGATCCAATTGGTCGATTCAATGGCGCCTGGTGTCATATCATTTTCCTCTTCTACCGTGCATAACCAATCGGGGTCTTCGATTCTAGAGATGACAGGTAAGAAGGGAACAATGATAGAAAAGCGCCTATCTTTGATGATGACAGCGTTGTCCAGAGCGTTGGTGATGCTGAGGCGAATCTCAGGACGTCTAATCCATTTGGCAGCTGCAATGGAGGTTAGTTCGACTATTATTCCCCCGCTTCGGAGACGGGTGGTAGCTTTAATGTTGATTTCCGGTGTGTCGTCTGACTGGGATGCTGTGAACGCTTGTTTTAGCTTGCTCGCTATGATGGTTGGGGTGGCTTCAGGAGCGAAGAGTGTCTGGCCCGGGATAGGGTCTAGCAAGATCTGGCGCTCTCGTGTGGCCGCGCGTGCAATCGCTGCCGATAAAGGTGCCGGGGTCTGAGTGTGTTGTTGAACTATTTCGCTGTATGATTTTGAGGTTCCTGACTTCGTCGTGCTAAGGGGAGAGGTTAGGGATTCCATAGCGTTCTTGACATCAACAATGCTGTTCAGGACCGCGTCGGCCGCTTTTTCAGCTCTTGTGGCCGCTGCAGATGCAGATCCGTTGTCGTCCTTTGAGTTTTCTGTTATATTGTCTTTCAGTTTCGCAATTTCATCGACGTTTGTTTTGAGGGTCTCTGAGGCAGTGAGAATGGAAGCTACGTGTGGTGAGATGGCCGCAATGACATGGGCGGATAGTGAGGATGATAGGTCCGCAGCTACTTGGGTTGTGAGTGAGGCTGAGATAGACTCCGTGATTTGCTGAATGTTGGGAGTTGCAGCATTGGCGTTATTGTTAAGGTTGTCTTCCAAAAGTAGGACTGTGGCACGGAGGCCTTCGACGACGATCCGGGGAATTCCTGTGTATTGGGTGATATAAAGAATCGTGAGTAATAGACTTTCGTTTGAAATGGGGGTGCCCGGTTGACGGAATGGAGACTTCTCTAGGAAGGAAATACCACTTTCTTTGTCTTTAACATCGTATTCTTGCTGCATAATTTCATCTCTTGGCAACAGTAAGGAGATAGTGTTGCGGTAAGATGTCCTGGTTCTATTGGTGGGAGTGGGGACACGGGTGTTTGAATTGCCGGGTCCCACAGACGTTGAACGCGTCTTCCCAGTTGCCATTTGTGCTATATTCGTCAGTATGAACTACTGAGTTTAGCCTGGCAGATTTTTGGGTGGTAGGTTGAGAGACTTTTGGCGTTGGGAACGCCTGGAACGCCGGTGAGCGCAGTGCTGGGTGCCGAGATTTTTCAGGGTCCTAGCTGGGGTGCCACTTGGTGTGTGACCAAGAAGCGATCTGTCACATAGCTTGAGGTGCTTCAGAGGTGCCTCGAAGTGAAGTGAAGGTTAAAAAAAATGGGGCTGTCAGCCGCGTTAAAGACTACCGTGACCGGAACCATGAGAATGGGAAGCAACACAATGAAACCCGTTTTGAGAGCAAAGTCAAGTTGTCCGCTCTTCGTTTTGGCCAGGTGGAAAAAGAAAGCGCACGGGTGGTGGCGAAAGGATTGAATGATAGCACTTCACTACCATACTTCATGTTGTCCGGGGGCTGTCTGTAAACGGTTCATGATCAGCCACGCAACTTGGAGACTATCGATTGATGCGTGGTAACACCAAAGGGTGCAAGTTCATTATTATGATCGTGCCTGTTTGAAGATATACAAAGTTAGGTGTAACGATGAGTTTGAGTCGGACTGATAACGAAAAGACTCCAAAAACGCAAGACGAACTCCTTTGCACAAAGATCCAAGTTTCTAGAATAAACGCCTCTTATTTGCCTGGCGCGCATAGTTCCCTGATCACGTTCTCATCAACCCTCTTCGCAAAACATATCTCAAACGGAGCAGCATGTATGTTCGCAGTGTCCGAGTATGCAAGCGTGTCAATCTTCGCTGCAGGGTTCTCCGAAAGGCGGAAAGCCCACAGAATAAGAGCCGTGTTGATGAAGACCGACCGATTCGCGACATGTTGACCAGGACATACTCTGGTCACGCATAAGAAATGGTCGAGAGATGAACGATACCACTCACCGACGGCCAAAGCTAAAAGTGAAAAACCTCAGATCACCGCGCACACGACCTGCATCGTCAATCCAACGCTGAGGATTAAACCTGTGTGGTTCCGGGAAGACCTCAGGGTCGTTTGCGATGGCCCTGAAATACGAGCGTCAGACCCAAAGGTCATAGGACGAAAATGATTGCGTACTGACCAATGGTTGCCAATCACAGTTGCACCTGCCGGAACGAGGTAGTTCTTCCAAATGATGTCCTTAGTCGCGCGATGCGCAAAGCCTGCAGGGCAAGGGGGTCGATCATCATTGCGTCGTCACAACTCAAAAAAGACATACCTCCAAGAGTGACAGGTCTCCACCTGAGACTCTCGAGCATGAACGCGGTAACCTGGGGTAGCATTTCGTGATCAGCAAACGTCGGCACTAATCAGGATTTATTTGAGTCAGTTGATGCACAAAGAACAGGGATAACCTACGCCGCGCACGCCCCACGACATCATCGAGTTCCTCTTGTACGCGAGCCTGCACATCTGTATGAGTGGAAGCAGCCATCATCATCATTGTGATTGCGGATGCAGTCTACAACAGTTGTCAACTTAAGACGCAATGCAATGTAAGAGCTTACCGTATCAGAACCAGCCGCAAACATCGCTCCTGCAATGTATGCCAGGTCCTTGTCTTCGAGCTGGTACTGTTTCTGGTGCTCTAACATGAACCTCGCAAAGGATGGACTTGTAGTCCCCTCACGCTTCACAGTGGTGAGCGAGCATATTATCAAAACAAAATCACGAACCATTTGTCTTCGCACTGCGTCCAATTGCCTGTCATAGAGAGCAAGTTCTTCTTTGTGCCATGCCTTTAGCTGACTCAGGTAGCCTGGGAAGAAACGCAGTATTGGATACGCATCCACAAGGTATGCTCCCGGCTGGATAGCTTGACCAAAACGCGCAAGAGCCTTATTGATGGCAACCACTTCAGGATCTGTATATGAAGTCGGAGTAGTTTTTCCATAGGTGAAGGACATGACCACCGAAGCTGAATAACTAAAATGCTCGAATTACCACCTGAACCGCGCAAGAAAGAGCTAGTGTTCGTACCGCATGGCATGACCTTGGTGGTTCTTTGGATCATTCAAGATATCCAGGACCAGATTCTTCGCATGCCTGGTCTGGATGGGCTCGTAGGTCGCCGCAACCTTGGGTTGCAAGCCTGCATGCAAGACCCTGCTGTACATTCAGTCTGGTTGATCGCACCCGGTAGAGACAAGATGCGTACCTGCGCAGCCGGCGCAATCTCTCACCAGAGCCCTGAAGCAGCACTCCCAACCCGTCAGCTAACGTCTCTTGCACTGCAATAGAACGCGGGCGGTCGGCAAGATTTGCTCCCTCTTTTTCCATGATATCCACTGCAGCCTATGACGTGATCTACTTCATGCCTGGATAGACAATGCATTGTTTTATACTGACCTGATGGCGTCCTATGATCACGGAAATCCTATGGCCTTGTTTGAGGGAGAACACAGGTCCATATTGTTCTGTCCATCTCGCGAATTGAAACGGCACACTGCGTGAGGAGTTAGATAGAGATCGCGTTGGTGTCAAAAGACTCACTGTGACTTTGGCATCGTATTTCCTAACAGCCAACGTCCAGGCGGTCCAGGCGGTAAAGGCAACCGCCTTGCGGCCTGATATCGCTGTTTCACTATCCAGACGTTGGCTAAGATAATGATAAGGGTGCATGCAATGATAATCGCCATCGAAATGGTCCGGCTTGCTGATAGTCACGATTCAAACACCCCGCTACTTTACAACACGTTTCACAGAACAGAGAGGCAGTAACTTGCTGTGATGAGCGATTAATACGGTGAGATCAGAGTGCATTATTACACTGGCTTATACTCACACAAACACAAATTGAACGCCTGTGCGGAGTAATCGGACCTGTGTGGATGACGCATGTGGCAGTCTTCCTATCATAGTATAAGAAACTAATGCGACCACCCTACCAATAAGTTAGTAGTACTTGGATGCGCGAGTGCCAAGAGATTTGGACCCTACCTGAAGATTAAGGTAGATCTTCATGTCGTTCTCGATGACCACGTTGGATTGCCAGTCGCGGCGCAGGACCGTGGCGGCGTTGTCCATTGGCAGGTTTACAAAACATTGTAATGGAGGTCAACGGGTCGGCGGGGTCATCATTCTA